ACTAGCTGATAGCATTTGTAATCACTGCTGTTTGTAATAAAATATCGATTGTACACTAAAGAGGTTTCATAAAGGAAGATTTTTCAATTAGTGCCACAGAGGTGTTTGTTCACAGGAGAACAAAAGATTTGCAGTATGATTTTCGTCAGAAATACGTAATAATAATAATGTTACTACCTTCAGCATTTATGTAACAGCGGAGAGATCGGGAGAGATGAGCATTCATTATTAAATTTTCTTAAGTTTTCCTGATTACGAATTTTTACAGTTTAGCCAGGGTCTGAGACCGATAATGTAGCAAGGTATAGCATTTGTAGTCCTATATTTGAAACGAAAACGACTTTCGAAATGAAATAATGCTGATTTATAGACTATGGCAAGTTTTAACCTCGACTGCATCATTGTTTATGCGTCTCTTTCGTTTCTGAGGTGCATCAATATCATTGCCTTGGTGACATTGAAACCACTTCCTCTCCGTAATGGACATAGAGTACCATTACGTCATGTGAATATTGAGGCTATGATCTAGTGCCTACCGTATGGTTGAAGAACATTGCTGATCTCAATCACACATTAATCCCCAAAAAATTTCGGACGGTAAAATTTTCGGACAAATACACGGTCCGAGAATTTTACCTTCAGAAATTTTTAACGTCCGAATTTTTACCGTCCGGAATTTTTACAGCCAATAAACAATAAAGAACCTTTGAGAAGTATATTTCCCTAAGATTACGATATGATTTATTGACCAAGAAATGCTGATAACTTCAAAGCGAAACTGCAATACCAATACAGGTAAACACGAAATAGAAATAGGAAGAAAGTGTCAAATTATTTAGTTTTGATATTTAGTTTTGTTAGCCATCGCTTGAAAATGCATGTCAGGTGGTCATCAAATACGAATACAGCAGGATTTTCCTCGTCATTTGAGTTGCTTGAAATATTCTCGTCGTCAGTATGCTCAACAAACATCAAGCATGTTGAGCCTCCCAGCTTCCTCCAAAATTTCTACTTAACTTTCTTCTGTGTTAGGAAATGGTTCATCTGAGAAATCCGTAGCTTCATTGCCAGGATTTTTATAGTTTTGATTGAATAATAAAGCCGTTTTAAATAACTTTCATATCAGCTGTTCATGAAGAAGCCGTCAAGACAATTTGTAAACCACCGTTAGCAATCGGAGAGCGATGGCATTTTCCAATTACAAAAATCACTGTCGACTGTTCTCCAAATGCTCCACAAAAAAAACCCAACAAAACGTGAAATCTCTTGTGGTATATGATCTATAATCTCTGAGTCTCTAGGTTACTCCCTTTTACTGCAAAAGCTTTTCTCCTTGCTAAGGGTTGGTTTACACACTTTTACCATTTACACGCAAGCCACTGCAAGCAATAACTTCTTTAAAACCTGATTGCATTTTCAGATCTCAAGATAATACTTTTGGTTGTTCAGATAAAGCTAAGAACTGAACTGTTACTGCTGTAAATCGGAATTCTTTCTAACAAGTCCATTAATGCAAGATGATTTATTGTATTGTATGACTATTTGCGAAGCAAACCATATCTGAAAAAAGAGGCTTCCATGTGTCTGGAATTAATGACGCTATTACTTCAACAATGGAACCAGAGAACCTTTGCCTAGATCCTGATACAAATAAAACTGTATTCAGATACTTAATCATTTGTGTTTTGTTCGAGATCACATTATTATTATGTTGTTGTTATGAAACTTGAAGATATCATCCGAAATTTCTTGGCGTCTTCTACATTTGTGGGCCTCCATTGTCCGGAATCAAGACTATTTAGTCTGAAATTTTCTGTCCGAAAATTAAACGTCCGAAATTAAACCATCCGAAACTTTTAAGGATTAATTTATCACAGTGACGATAATTTCGAAAAGTGGCTTTGAGATAGATATCGGAAAAGAATTGATAACCACTTAGCTATCGTTACCTTAAAATCACTGATTTGAAATTACTTCGAAATTGTCTTTAGGAATGTGGCAGCAAACACTTTAGGAGATACAATAACGCATTTCCTCTTTTTCATGGACAAAGTACGACCTTATGAAAGAACCACAAAGACCAACAGAATCCTTATCTGCAAAATGCTGAAAATAGCGCCAGGTCATTTGCCCTACAAAATTTTGCATTAAAAAGACGATAAATGACTGGGCAACCATCCCCAACACAGTCATACCAATGACTACCTTATTGAGTCATACAAGCTCGATACGTTCACGTGATACCACAACAGAAAGTGCTGAACCCAATGAGGTGAATAGAATTGGCTGAACCCAATACTCGCTTTGTTCACTAGTGGTATCACCTTGGAGACCGCAAAATCTTTTCTTGTCCATGCGAAAATCATATTGCGGCGATGATGATTAAGTACCAAAAAATCCGGTGCCAAAAATTTTGGTTGATTAATTTTCGGTGGAAAAAGTTTCGACCATGTTTTTTGAAATTTTAGTGTAAATTTCTATGAAAAAATTTCGGCGAGAAACGAAATGTTACCCTTTCTGTAAGTTATTTCTATTTTCAATATAAACTCATCTTCAACGCCTAAGTATAAGATAAATTATAAGGTGACGAAAATCGAATATTTTGATGTCATCCCAATAAATGGAATTGAAGAGTAGGCGCGAATGACATAAACTCTTTTTAGAAGAGGTCTTTTTTATTTCATTTTTTATAGACCATGGAGGAAAATTGATTGTAAGCGTTTGCAGTTCGCAATATTTTCGATCGTCAATTGCAACGAGGGGATTAGAAATCCTGAACGAACTGAGGCGTCCAAATTGACATAGCACGAATGTTAGAAAGAAATAATTGAGAGCAATTTTTATGAAGAACCAGCAGATTTATAAGTTCAGCCCAAAGAGAACGCAAATTTCTTGAAAGTAGAGGGAGAAAGAAATTGAAGATGAGCTGGATATCTTATTTGTGGATGACGAAAGAGAATCAGAAACTGAAAATTGATACGTATTTGATGTAAAGTAATACTCCAACAATACCAAGGAGAAAATTTGTTTGCTATTTTGAAAATCCATCGGTGCAAAGCAAGATCTTTCTAGCGTTTGCAAATTTCGGCAAGAAAAAATTTCGGTTTCGAAAAAATTTCGGTTTCCAAAAAATTTCGGTTTCAAAAAATGTAATGCATGTCCTAACCATGGACAACATAAATAAAATTGAACATGGGAACTTGATCGAAAAAATCTGTCATTGTCCAAGTTGTACAACAAGTAACAGATTGTCTTAGAAAATAGAAGGAGAAACCTGATCCAATCTAGAATGACTTGGTGTCAGCAAGAAATGATGGAGTTTTGTTTCTTCGATTGTCTAAACTTGGCTTGCAATGTCTATTTGGTAACGGAAAGTAAAGTTCTCAAAAACGTTGGAAATAGCTCTTTATTTCCTAATAGCAGTCAGCTGTTGAAGGAAAAGAAACTGGTGTGAAGAAGCTTTTTGAGTATATAAGAAAAAATGAATATGAAAATGACTTTGAAAAAAGCAAACATCTTACAACATATTGGCTAAAAGCTTTTTCACAATGGCGGCTTTTCCCTTTGTATGTAGATCGATTCCAAAACTGCTAGATGGAAGGACGACCGGGCTCTGCCAATTATCCGAACCATGTCATCATTATAGAGCTTTGCACAATCTGGGTTGTCTAAAAACTGTGTTCGGTACCGCCAAAAAATTGTTCAATTAATGAATAGGCAAATTTTTCTTTAAAAGTATCATCAAGAAAGCTGCAAAGTTTTATGTATCGATAATCTATTCCTGCTAAGAAAGAGAAAATCTAGACAAAAGTATGAATTCTGCTAAAATTCGTTTTGGCCAGCACAGTTCAAAGGTTTTCCCAATCCAGAGTCTTTTATGTTAAAAGCACTTTATTCCCGGAAAATTTAAAATCGGGTTTTACAGACATTTTTCCCAATTAAACAAAATTGCCAAACCTTCCATGCAGTTTCTGGCCATCCCTAAGATACCGTATTTCTAAATTCTTTCTCTTGCCGCTAACCGGTGTCGGCCTTTCCTAAACCTAAAGCTTGATATTTTGGCCTCAAATACGGTTCGCCGTCCCTGGGGTACCTACGAAGTATTATGACAGAACCAGTGGTGGCGCCAAAGGAGGGTTAGGGGGGATACAGCCCCTCCGTCGGAAGCATCTAGCCCCCCCCCATCGGAGGAAATTTTAGGTTATTGTCGGAGCAAATTTGACAAAATAATGTACGAAAACTGCTTATTTTAGTCATTTTAGCCCCCCTGTCGGAAGCTCCAACCCCTCTATCGGAAGATTTGTGGCGCCACCACTGGCACAGAACGGAGATACAACTTGATACTGCTTCATTCTCATAAGCAAAAAACTAATAAAATAAATTTGAAAAGGGTCGCAAAAGACTTTGTACAGCACAACGATAGTTGCAAACAATATTTTCGTAACCTGTAAGGAAAAAGATTTTTTATCCAGGTCTTATCAAATTTTGTCTTCTAAATAACAATGAGACTTCTCAATTCAAAAAGGGCATACTCAAGCTTGTTTTCTTTGCTCTACTTTTCTAAAAAAGTGCAATGACATTGTTCCAAATAAACTTTAGTAACAGACTTGTCATACTGTATCGCCAAATGGCTACTGAATGAAGCCCAATTTTTAATCTAGTAGGCGTGCTTCTCGATTGCCTCTTATATTGTAGTGCCCCCTACTTTTTGAAACACTCCTACGCCTCTGGAAGATATTCATGGTTGTGGCTTCCTGGCAACGACACTTCTATGAATGCAAGACAGCAGAGACACGATACTACTGTTATGACGTGACCGACTGGCAAGGGCGTCGCCAAAGGGGGGGGGGGTACGGGGGGTGCGGCTTTTCTATTTTGAAAATTTGGACGAGGATGTTTAGCAAAGCAATTTTAGCTACTTCGAAATTCTACAAAATCCTTTAATCCAAAAATACAAAAAAAATGAATGTAAGGAAATAAGCATTGAATAAACTTATGGATAACGTTTCTAATTGATGAATAAAAAATGTCACTGCCAAAAGCTGAATTAAATATGTTACAGTTTATAAATATGAAGGACAAAATAATTCTTTTCAATAAATCAATTGGTTTGCTATTGTCATGTCCCTGCACTTTGTTTGAGATAGAAAAATGACATCCAATTGAACTGCTTCATTTAAGAAAATGATTGAACTCATTGCACAAAAATGCATGATTTGATGACTGTTAAAGTAAATATCAAATGATCCAGGTCTAAGTCTCTCAGGAAATTTACAAACATTTATGACAGCACCAATGAGTGCCACACAATCCACTAAAATGTAATATCTGTATGTTAAGCCATGTGAATGAATATCCATTAAGTTGATAAAAAAGCGCGAGAGTATTATCAGAGGACGTGAAACTGCATAAAATGTCAATGGCACAAAGCGCTGCATGGGAGTCTTGGCTGTGACCAAGTAGTACAAGGCAATAAGTGACAGTAATAGATATATTCCAACAGCCAACAACTGTATGTTTGGAAAGCATTGGAATGTTGTGATTATTGCTATTATGTATCCAAATGTATTGACAGCCCAAACACCCACCATATCAAAACAGAGTAGTCTGTAGTAAGTGATAGAACCATGGTGATGGCACAAGAAGAGATGGTAAATGGTACTTGCCACAAATGGGAACAAACTTGCAAGGCAGTGGATTGTCAGTAAGTTATCAAAATGCCATACTTGAACTCTAAAACCTGGCCATTGTAGAAGGACAAACATAAGGTAAAGTGCCATGAACCCTGGAAAATGAATGGAAAAACTGACATGTTAATTTTATGAACAGAGTGGTATGTGACATTGCATTATGAATTTATTTTTTAAGCTTCTGAACTACAACTGACTTTGAGACATCAGCTCTAGAAAGGCATCGAGAGAAGCTCTATACCAAAAGCAATATCCAGCTTAACTAGTACAAAAAATCTAGAACAATTTTGTCCTTCTATTGATATAATACCGTACTGTAATTTTTAATTTGGCTAGCACAAATTTGCTCTTACATGCATTGTTTGATTTCTGATTTGGCTAAAAATGTTTTACTCAAACTTTCTATCATAATGCTGTGTGACAACAGTGAACGTGTATTGACAGTTTTATATCTGTTATCGTGGCCTGCATTGTATTTTAGTCAATCAGACCTGCTATTGTTTTGGTTTCCAAAGCAACTTAATGAATTATACATCTGTAGCATCCCCTTTTTTGTGTATGTCCAGTCTTGTATTTAGTCTATAAATGTATCCAATGGCGACGACAGCCACTAAGCTCTGGGGGGGGGGGGGGGGGGGGACAAGCTTAAAAAAATTTAAGCCATGCCCTTTTAACCACCAGAATATTCCCTTTTACCAACAGGAAAGCCAATTTTATCCGAAGGGAACACCTAAGACTAACTTTTGTTTGAAAATTGGCAGTTTGAAAATCATAGGATTACATCACAAAAAGTGTGGTGTCAAAATATTACCCCTCCCCCAACATTTTCTCATCGAATTTGGACGAAATACCAAATCGGTCCTGCTGAGAACTTGGGGGACGTGTCCCCAACCCCCAACCCCGTGGCGCCGCTACTGAATGTATCAAGGCCATACAAACAAGCAACAATGTATCTTACTGACTCCTTGTCTTCTAAAGATGTCTAACAAATCTATAAACCTTAACAAATGCATAATGTAATTACACGCAATAATTCATTGTATTGATTGCTTTCTTGGTTTCCAGGTACATAGGCCTTCTAGTTCCTTAACCTGACTTTCATTTTTTTCTTCCTTTTAGAAAGCATTGGGCTCAAAATGGTACATGTCTGCTTACTGTGGCAAGACCCAATGTGTTTCCCCAAAAACCTTTTTTAAGAAAAACAATGTTCAAAATAAGTTCTTGATACTGCAAGATTTGAAGATCGCACAAAAAATGGAAAAATGACATACTAAAGTACTTTTTGTCTGACAATCTTCAGAGTATAAATGTCAGTGGTGCCAATCTGGAATCCATGTAGCTTATGCTGGAGATATCCGGCATAGACTAATGATTTCCCATTGTCTTTCTATTGTTTATTGGCATATGTCCGGCTTGAGCTTCACATGGATTCCACCCTGGCAGTGGTGGTATGGCATATTTGTGAATACAGCATGGCTGCTCTCTTTTTGGAACTGTTTTGCCTTATGCTTACAGGAACATGCTGTTTTATGCTACTATCTGATGTTTATACACTGAAAAGTGTTGTCCAAACATATTTAAGTCAGCCATGTTTCAGATATTTTGTGCCAAAGAACAATTTCATAAGAACATAAGCCTCAAAATTGGTTGAAATTTAAGAGCAAATAAAGGGCAAGTTGATACTGAGTCAGCAATGTTGTGAAACCCCTTTAAAAATCTCTGTTAAACAGCAAGAAGTTTTTACTAGAGGTGCTTCTTCTTTGAATTTTCAAACTTGTTGGCAAATAATCGATGCCTCACTCATTTTATTTGCAAATGAGGCCAGAAACCCCCCTAGAGCACACTAGCAATTCAGTGCTTACATCATAATAATTTAAGAACAAATTAAGAACAATACATTCTCAAATTTAAAAAAAAAATAGCTAGCCTGAACTTCAATTTTAAATTACTAATAAATTACTGGTTCTTATAAAAAGGGTGAATGCTACAATAGCAAAAAAGAAAACAAATAAAATATTACCGTGAGTATAGATATTTACTGTCTCATTATGAATTCGAAACAAGCTTTGGAAGCAATCAGCCACTGAATATCCAGCCCTGTACCCATTAATGATGTACTTGTTGAAAGCCAAATGAGGTGGAATGTCTGCCTTTGTAACTAAATTACTGTTCTTATCTTTCAGAGATGGCATCTCTTGGTTCTAGTGAGAAAAAGGAAGTTATCAAAAAAAGAGACCTTAAAACAAAATGTAGATTTTAAACTGCTTTCTTAGTTCCATGGCATACATGTAAAGGTTCATTCAACATCATTAAATGCATAATTCGTTCAAAATCAAGCCGGTCACTTTGGTGTTGATGATTGCAATTTTAGAAATTTCAGAAGCTCATTTTAAAGATTTTATTTGTGTCTCAAAGAAACCTCGAACCTAGCTTTAGCCAGGGTGGAATCCATGTGAAACTCACGCCGGACATATGCCAATAAACAATAGAAAGACAATGGGGAATCGTTAGTCTACGCTGGATATCTCTGGCGTAAGCTACATGGATTCCACACTGGAGCTTTAGTGAGTGTATAACACCCTATGACCTAATGATAAATAATGCAAAAAGAGTGAATAAAGCAAGACCTTTATATAAAAAGCCTAGAATTAGCCCATTACTCTGTTAGGTATTTATCTGGATCCAAAGGTTTATAAATGCACCCTCCTCCTGTATTTTACGGCGATTAAGCCAGACAAAACCTCTATGAAAAGGAAGGAAAGCGAAGCCAAGACACACCCTCTTTTCTTACTGATGGCTACGTGGAAACATAATATGCACAAAATTCAGCATGAAATCCATATAAATTTTTCATAACGAAAATTTAACTAACCAGTCTGCGGGTCCACTTCTAGCCCCACTTCTATGTTTTATACGCCGGTGAAGGAAGGTTTGACAAGATAATGAGCCCTGTCTTGCTGCCTCCCAATAACATAATCAAAAACCAAGAGCCCTTCGATACCGTCTCGTTTCTGTTACGAGGTTACAAACAAGATGGAGGACAAAAAAGATGGAAATGCTGATTCTAGTCACGTAGAAGACCAGTGGCGAAGCTAGCGGTCATGCTGGTCATGCTGAGCATGACTAAAAATTTTCAGAGCTAAAGACATTTATTATAATGATTAAAACTTTTCTTTATTGAAAAAGTACCCTCAAAACTCCATTCGTCCAGTTGATTCTTATTATTTCACTGCCCTTCCCTACCTTGGTCCCTTGTGGTTAGTCATGCTCATTCTGGAGAGCATGACCTGCCATAGGGTTTCTTTCCTCAGAGAGCCCAACCGCTCCTGTGAGTCGGCTGAGTTTCAATGACTTTTCAGTTGGTATCCCTGCGGTAAGTCATGCTCATTTGGAATAGCATGACCTCGTCATTATAATCATAAACCTAGCACTGATTTGATTGGCTGAATTCTATCTTGCGCATGCTATCTTGGCCCGTTTTGGACCCCAAGTCATGCTCATTTTTTTCAGCATGACCGACCTAAATCTCCCATACATGAAGTATCTAAGGTCTACTTGTGAGCTGAGAGACATTGCTGCAAGGGAGTGGGGAAATTCAATCGAAGCTATTTCCGAGAGATATATTGTTTATTAACTGCTACAGGAATCACTTGCGTGTGGCTGAGCAAGGTAATTGTAAACCAAAATTGTAATTGAAAACCAAAGGCCGACCCTTATAGATGAAGAATCCTACCACTACGTTGCTGATCATACCATAACTTGTTGCTGATGGACGAACTTGTACCCTGAAACTTGCCTGTGTATTCAGTATTTCACCAAAACCTCTTGCTCATGGAATTGTACTCTTGAAAATTTCCTGTTTTGTCAAAATCACACAATAACCTGTTGCTGATGGATGGAATTTTACATGATGGATGGAAATTGCCTGTCCATTCTATCTGGTTTATTCAATATTACAACCTTACTTGTTGCTGAGAGGGACGAACTTGTACTTTGAAAACTTGCCTGTTTATTCAATGTTTCACCAAGACCTGTTGTTAATAGAAAGAATTGTGCTCTTAAAAATTTCTTGTTTAGTCAATATTACAACATAACTTGTTGTGTATAAAATAAAATTCAAATTGCATCTTGCAATTTGCTTGTTATTCAATATTACACCATAACTTGTTGCTGATAAATGAAATGGTACCCTGAAATTTGCCTGCATTCAATATTACACCAACTCTTTTTTTTGATAAATGAAATTGTACTCTTATATTTCCTTGTTTATTCAATATTACACCATAACTTTTGTTGATAAATGAAATTGTACCCTTAAATTTGCTTGTTTATTCAATATTACTCTATAACTTTTGTTAATACATGTATGTAATTTGCATTGTACCCTATGCAATGCAAATGTATTGTATCCCTGTAATTTGCCTGTTATTCAATATTACACCATGACTTGATGATGATAATGAAATTGCACTCTGGAACTTGCCTGTTATTGGATATTTGACTATAATTTGCTGATGGATAGAATTTAGAAATGATTTTTAATCACACTATATATGTAGCTTCTACACAGCCAACCTTCTCAATGCAGTTTGATTTCCCCAGGGCTTTCGGTTGCCAGGAAAACTATGGGGTTTCTTAAACATGGAAGACCAAAGTTATAGGAAAGCCCTTGATGTTGGGCTTGGACTTAACTTGTTGATGTTTATGGCATGTTACACCTTAAATACAGGGGTCAAAACTTTTTGTATATGCTAAACAGTACTATCCTTGATACATTTGTTTTAGATATGTAAAAATTAAGCTTATAAAATTGAAGCTAAGTATAAAATTCTAAACCAAGAAACAAGCATCCCACAATTCCCTGTATCATAAACAAGGGAGGGCCTACCTATCACTGAGGGCTTATCTTGCCTAATTCATCTTAATTCAGAAACATCATCAAAAGTGTCAATAATCAATAGTAAGAGAATGGATATTTCTTAGCCCTTGCTGATTTAAATAAGCTGATTTATCAAAAGTTTAGATTTTGAAAAATATTTGTAGATATAATATTCTCTCATCTGCAATGTTTTCCAGTATGATCAGTAGTGTTTGTTGGGGTTTTTCAAATGCACAATTTTTCAAAAACATTGTCCCAAAGGTATTTCCAAAACACAACATTGGAGAATGGGGTGGAAAGAACATTTAGATGTTGAAGTCCTTGACATCATTGATTGCGATCTAAACAAGAGCTATTTGATTCAATATACTAAAAAGGGCGTTACCCCCCTTTTCCGAGCATCTATAGGGTGTGGTTGTGTGTAATTTTCCTGGGGGCTATGCCCCCAGACCCCCATCCCCTTTCTCTCCCATACAAAGCATGACCATTGACTTAAGGCCAGCTTCGCCACTGTAGAAGACCAATCTAAATCACCGAGAGAAATTCCTCCATGGGCGCAAGGAGAAAATCTAAGGAATGTCGAGAAAGATGTTTTGATACCAAAAATCATGAGAGAGAAAGCGAAGATTAAATGCAAAGATCTTGTTGACGGTAAGTTACTTTTCCCAGCTGTACCTTTGCCCGTTGGTGTGGCACGTGCTTATAAGCAATTTTTTAAAAAAACTTTAGTCATACCAGGCTTTATTAGGTGCCGTAAATACCAGGCAAAAGTTGTTACCCTTCAGAAATAATCTTTTTCATTAACAACACTAGAAAAAGGCTGGACCCTTTAAATTCAAACAAGTATTCTTCCGGACCAAAAATACTAATTCCGTAATTTACATACCTAATTTTACTGGCTGCTATTCAAACTCCAGCTGTTTTTGACGTTACCAGTAAATAGAATTTGAATTTTTCGATATGTCTAGTGTTTGAGATACAAAAAATATTGCAGCATTTTATGAACCAAAGAAAGTATTTGAAGAAGTAGCTTGCCCTGAACCAGTCTGCAGAGTATGGCATGTGCACACCGGAGATATTTTTGTGCAAAACCTGTTGCACACCAGGTATTTTTGGGTGTGGCAACTAAGATGGGTGTGGCTTGGTGTGGTCCCATAGAAAATGTCAGCTGATAAAAACAAGCACAGTTTTGTATGAACAATTTTAGGTATCATGAATCTTACTTGACAAATATACAAATAAAAACTTGGGCTATCTTCAACAGTGTACTTCACATGCATTTTTACGGTGAAATGCAAATTCACAAATTTTAACCACAACAGGGGAAAATAGTCGGTGCACACCAGCACACCAGACATTTTTGGTGGTGCACACCGGCACACCAGGCTTTTTGCTCGTGCACACCGGAGATCTCGTCGAAAAGTGCCATACTCTGCAGACCGGGCCCTGAAAAGGTTCTTTTACCCAAATCTAAACCAAAAAAGTATGCTGTTCATTATTCTAAGTATAGACCAAAGTACCCCTTTGGGCAATTTAATGTTCTAATGCTTTTGCTATTTATTCTACACTGCTTCAATAATGAATTAAAGGCACTCTTGTTTTAAAAATCAAAAGTAAACTAGCACATAACGTAACGTAAAAAGTTAAGCTCAAGTTAAGTAGCATCAGCAGCATTGCTACTATAGATTTTTTCTTGTTCTTACTTCTTTATGGCATTGGCAATACCTATTTTATGTACCAACCTGACCATCAGAAGTCTGTAGAAAAGTGTCATTCTCTGTCCAGTTTCTTAGTTTATGCTCTATTAAATTACCTTGTTAGTTTAATTTATAATGGTTTGAGATGAAGTCACTTTTGTGGTTTGAGCCTGAAATCTTTTCTCTTAAAATCCGTTTTTTTATACTTTGTGAATAAATGTCATTGTTAATCTTTTCTAGAATTTGCAAAATGTGCAAAAGGGAGAACTGTTTCAATGCTGTGGAACTGTATGTCTCAAAACAATGCAATGAAAGAGTGTCTTACTAAGTAGTGAGTTGCCTATTTTGTCACATTTTGCTATTCTAATTTAAGCTTGTATTCACAATTTAGGATGTTTTGGAAAGCAGAAAGGATATGAAAGTTTATAGAGCTCACTGCAAGTATGTTTCATATCACTGAAGAGCCTCCTTTGTGTGTCCAAGGTTTTGAAACTTTATGTTGCTTTGGATCACTGATGTTTCTTGTTGGTACTTTTCATTGCATCAATTCATTTTTAATTTTAGGACCTGGTATTACAAATCCGATTTACTAGGCATGCTTTTTGTATACATACTCCATAGATTTCTAATTTATAAATGTATTTGCATATTTTGAGCCAGAAAATATTCCCTGGGAATTTATATTTTCCAAAATCTGTGGGGAAAGTTGTCTGAAGCATTTCATTAGTTTTAGTTCGACATTCATTGAGAATTGCAGCATTATTCTGTTTTTTGTCAAATATTTTCTCAGGCCTTTTTGTGAGAAATAGAGTGGCCCAGCTCTCTCATGATTTCTCTTGCGTGAGCAACCGCTCTCAAGGTCATAAAAATATGTTTATAAGTGTCTGTTATGTTTATAATAACCATGTGATCCTGTAATGTAAGGTAATATCAAATGAAAACAAACTTATGCATTTGTATGTAGATGGCCATCGGACGTTGGACGTATTCTTACTACCTAGGATGCACAATCTAAAGATTGGGGGGTTGGATAAAACAGCATGTTCCTTCCAACATAAGAAACAAAACTGCCCCTCAAAGAGAAGAGCCTTCTCGATCTTTTAGGTCTAAAAACACTGTTAAAACAAGTGATTCTGCCATCGGTCAACATCTTTTAGACAACCCAGATTGTGCAAAACTCTATAATGAAGACATGTTTCGGATAATAAGCAGAGCTCGGTCATCCTTCCATCTAGCAGTATTGGAATTGATCTGCATACAAAGGAAAAAGCCGCCATTGTAGAGACAGAAGTAGTTCGTTTTCTCTCTTGGACTTGTGGTAATTTTTCTTTAGACTCACGACAGTCATTGGTCAACTACACCGATCTTGTGCTTGCGTTTTTCTGATTGGCCTATTTCACTCCACAACTGGGTATATGTTTTTCATTGTGTTCTTCCGAACCCTTATTCTGACGCTTTATGCTCTGAGGAGTGTCAGACAACAGAGCTTTTAGCCAATATGTTGTAAAATGTTTGCTTTTTCAAAGCCATTTACTTTTTATGGTAAATTTTTATTATAGTTATCAGGATTCAGAGTTTTATGCTGAATGTAAAGAAGTATATTTGAAGCAAAGAGAAGAATTTCAAAAAGTTTGGTCAGAAACTGGAAAAACAAAATTGCCAAAGAAGAAAGACTCAGCAATGTTCTAGATTTTGTGATAAGAGCATGTAACCGAAAGGTTCATTTAAACGGTTATTTATGAATATGAATGTAGTGAGAATATTAAGGAGAGGAAATTTTTGTCTGCTTTGTGAAATGAAGATATACATAGCTAGATTTTGTATGTAAATTAAATATGATTCTGTGATTTAAGATTTAAAATATCAAGGCCAGTTTAAATAAGATTAAGATATCTTATTTTACTTGGTCTAAGATGTTGTGTGACTGGAATTTTCTTTATATTCATAATATAAAAGAAATTAGTGGACAAAATGTAGCTTCCTTAGAAAAAGTACGGAGGATTAGGAAAGAATTAATATAATCTTTTTATCCTCATTTCAATATTCTGTTTGATAAAACTTTGAGAACCTAAGAAGAGTGATTTTGTGACGTCCAAAGCATTCTGTTTATAATGCAAGCAGAAACAAAAGGGTGGTACTAAAACTGGTGTGTTAAAAGGATTTTCTCGCTCTTTTCAAAAAAGAAACCATCTGTTAAAGGTTATTCTAGCGTGTAATAAACAAACTGAGTTCTATACAAGAAAAGCAACATGTTCCCAATAACTATAATCTAAAAACTGATTGAGTCTAACATTGCTCCTAAACACTGAACAATGTTTGATGTCATCATGAAGTCTACTTTTTCTTCTAAATGACGTTTAGGGTCCTAGAAAATAAATATTTACATTAGAAATATACAGATTCCTATTTTTGAACATCAAAGTCATGCTGATAATTATAAACATGTTTCATACATTTGTTTTTAATGCCATATACATTACCACCACAATAGATTCTTAAAATACCGACAAAAGAAAAAACTTTTGGCACAGACCACTGAGGGCCAGTACTTTTTTAAACAGCTTGTTAATTTGTATGTTCATTAAATTGCTTTTAAAACAAATCTTACTCTAAAGATATAAAAGAATGGTGAAAAGAGTACCCATAAAAAAGCTTGGTTTTTTTAAGTTGTTTACTTGCATGGCAACAAATCAGACTGTGAACAATTTTGTTGAGCCAAACATAGGTTTTTTGAGACATAAAGTTTTCACAGTTGAAAGATCCACTGTCAAACCAAAAAAGAAGTCTTTATGGAGTCTTCTATAATTTAGCAATATGGGGCCTTCTCAGTTATCCAAATTAATCAACAGCCAGGAAATATGATTAAAAGGGAAGAAGCAAATTTTGGTACAAATTCAAAGAAAACTATACCTGTTTTCCAACATTTTTAATAGCTAGCTGCTCTGGTGTCATTTTCTCCTCATCTTTTAATGCCTGATAAAAATATCAAGAAAATCTGAGTTTTGGCTATCCCAAAACATCTCAAAGTCCATAGGATTAATATAATAGTTTAATAAAAACCACCCAACAACATTATAACCCTATGAAATTCGATCTAGACTTTGTGAACTGGATAAAAAACCCTTTAAGGGCCTGTCTAACCAAAACTTGCAAACCGTTTTCTATTATCTAAGCTAATGGAGCTCAATTTGCTGATCATGAATTAATAATGTCTTCAAGTAATTTGTATATATATTCTTAAGTCATAAGTGCTTAAAATTTGACAATTAAAATGAATACAAGAAAAATTTTCTCCAATTGGTGATTTCATAAACCAACCTTATGATAACTCTTTGCAAGCTGCAACATGTCTTCAATAACAGATTCATTCATTTTGCAATGATCACCATAATTCTGCAAGGTCAACCCTTCCATCCAGCTTTTTTTGTGAAGGTTCAGTAACATCTAAAATCAATATTATAAGATTAGACAAAGTATGATGAATCGTTTATGCAAAAGAAAGACAATCAATGTAATTTCTACAAGATCAAACTGAGAGGAAAATAGCATCTGAAGTACATTATGAAGTTCAACTCCCTAACATGACCGAACCTCTACCCAGATTGAGGGGAGTTGCTAAATCTCTGCAATTCCAAGTGTAAGAACCAAAAGGTGTGGCAGGGGCAGCTTAGGGTGGTATTAAAGGTAAAATTCTGATACCATTTCATTTTTAAAGAAATGAGAGTTTGGTTTCTCTAAGATCGCAAGAAATTTCTTTGGCTTTTTTTGTCGTTGCCACTTTTTAATAACAACTGTATCGCTGTGACCAGCTCTATTCATATAGCCAAGTTATATTTGCTTCTCTGTTTGTTGAATGAAAGCTTTCCTAATCTTTATTGAAATCTTTGAAAAGTGTGATTGTGCATTAATCCATACTGCCTGGGATAAATTTCTTTTGTGGAGCTACAGTAGAAGAACTGCTAAACAGAAGGAAGGTACTAGTTTTTCATTTCTAATACTATGAGGGCTGCTGTCAGCTGAAGAGATGGTGGACAGAGCCTTTGCTCATAGAAACACAGTACTAGAAATTAACTTATGAATTTGCAAAATGTAGCTATACTTTTGCTAGCAATGTCTTTTTTATTTGATTGACAAAATTTAGACACTGGATGTAAAGAGCAACAGTCATGAAATAATTTGTTTAAGCTCAAAGATTTTAAAGGCTGAGGGCTGTTTGCAAGCAAATCATTTTGTCAAAATTTTGGTGGTCTGGGGCACAAAAACTTAATTTGTGGATTTCAGTCACAAAGCTGAAAAGCTTGTTTTAGGAAGCTGCGAAACCTGTTTTAGGACAAATCACAACAAAAATAAGGCTATTATAAGGTATTTAAGGTCTCATTTGAAGTGACAGATGAATTGAATTTAGGGAAGAAAAAAATTAGAATTTTCCCAATTTTGGAGACTAGGGAACAAAAAATGTTTTAGCAATGGCAGTATCAAGAGCTGAAATAAACTTTTCTTAATCAAGATTAAGAATGAAGGGTAGTACTGGAAAGCTCAATGAACAATATAATTCAAATGTTATATAGTTTAGGAGCCCCCTGTGACAAAATTTGGCACATTTTGCCACCAAAAATCATGTTTGTTGAAATATTATGTGAAGAATTAAGGGCAATTAATGATTTAGCTTTCAGATGCTCTAAAAGGTGCTTTTGGTGTTTTTTAGGCATTGGGCCAATTTCAGTGCTTGTTGAGGTATTTTTGAGAACTAGCTATTTTTGAGAAGAGCAAGCATTAGTTGTTCCATGATACACTTGTTCAAGCTCCACTCCCTGAAAGGTTATCTTTTTAGTATCCCCTTATGAAGTGATGAAGTACACCCTGCTAGAGCTGAGAGCAAATGTTGGGATCTTGCTCTGCTATCAAAAAATATATGACAGACAATGATATCATGGTTTCTCAAACAAATGCAGCATGAGCAGGAATAAAGCAGAACCATTTAGAAAGAATGTCAAACAAGAGGTAGGTTAAAAGCAGGCCTTGCCATAATTTTGACAGGCAGGCAGAAAATTTCTCTATTTTTTGTACCAGGAAGGTGATTTTAGCAAAATGTAAAAGAAACATCACACATAGAAACACACAGAAATTACTGAAATCACATTACACTTTGTTTGTCACCTTGATAATTTTCTTCACATTGGTTTGAAAACAAATGTAAAATTTTAAAACAGGCAGCAATTAAACACACTTCTCATTGTGGAAAAGGCATGTACCAACATGTGAGAGTGCAGTTGCACACCTTTCCAAGGGGGGCCTTTGACAAATCTTGCACATGTTTATTTTCATTGTTTGATTTGAATTACATTAAGTTTTGTTTCTTTTTATGGATGCAATCATATTTTTACAGAGAAATTTTATTATCAATCATGAAAGCATCACTAATTTTAGTAGGACAAAGTAGCTGCCAGGGTAGTATGCTGATTCCTATGAACCTGTTATTTGACACAAAGAAAGACAGATATATAACTATAGCAAAACATACCTTTTGCTCTAACTCATTCTTTCTATAATTAATTGTAATGGAGTAGTAATGTCTGTTCAATCCATGTATTAGAGCCTATGAGAAAAAGGAAAAATTAAACCTATACTTCAAATACTTCAAACATGAATACTTCAGGCAAAAAGGAAAATGATAACAGCCAAGTTATAAGCAGCATTCACAAAAGGAACTTACAAAAAGCTACATTGCGAAGAAATAAGAAATGGAAAAAGAAATGAATGTTTAAGACGTAGTGCCAGCTGCCCAAAAGTGGGGGTGGGGATTTGTTTGGACCATGTCTCATTTTGTTCTGGGATACACCTTTTACAATACTGTTTGTTATGAGCCCTTAAGAGAGACATTACCAAATAATCTATTTTTAAAATTTTAGAATTCTGAGCCCAATAGCCTGAAAGAAAACTAGCAAATACCTCTAAATATGCAAAATCAGTTAAAAATATTCAAAACAGACTCAGATATGGCCAGTGAAAGACATGATTTTTGCTAATAGATTCCTGTTGCTTCTGCCTGGCTCATGCGTTTTAAAACCAGGATAAACTTACAGTAATTTATTGGCAAAATAGCCCCTGCTCATGTAGCAATATCTCAGTTTTCAACAGATTCAACTGATTTTGCAAATTTAGAGGTATTTCATCTTGTGTTTTTTCAGGTAATCGGGTCAGGATTTTACAACTCAAAAAAAATTTTTTGATGATATCACTTTGCCGAACTTGGATGATAAACAAAGCTTATATCTGATTCCTTCTTAGTTTATATCTTCCACTCAGAACCGTCAGCTACTGATGATTAAAAATACACAATCTTCCCCCGGCAATCAACATTCCCATAGTAGGGTAACCAGTGCACCCAATTGCCATAACCCCCCTAATGGCTCTGTCACTGGTTAACCTTTAAATGAACCAGTATAATACTAAACAATTACTGCCAGTTCAGGGGAAAATGGACCATTTGTTTTAGAATTTTCCACAACATATAATAAAATTTGCTGCAATAGTAACCTGTTAGCAACAGAATCAAAGCAAATGATGACAATGATATCATGGAAGTCTTAGATAAGATTAAGATACAACAAGCTACTGTCAAAACATTTTACATTCTTTATAAAGTGATGTAGCAATCAAATCAGAGTAGGGGTCGAAGATGTCAATTTTCTGAAAATTTTTAGAAAGGGTACACGAAATCTTGATGTGTCGATGCAGGTGTATGACTTTAAATATTTTACCTTAAATTTTTCTCTCAATTATAACTCTTTTCCCTTGTGTTTTTTCTATCTTGCAGCAGATACTTCCTACTCAATATATTGCGGGTTTATATACAAACTACTTGAAGAAGCTGAAGAATAACTGGGTATCAAGAATAAACTGCCAAAACATCTTCACTTTCATAAAGAAACCATGAAAATCCACCGAATTTAAAGTACAAGATTTCTATTTGCATCATGAAGAAATGGAGTATTAGAGCAAACGAAAAAGTGAACACTCATTAAAATGGCTTAGATAACAAGTGCACACAGGGGGTCATGTCATAAAGGCATATTTCTCAAAACAGCTAGGCACTGTCTAAATTGTGAATGCATCAATAATTTTCAGAAAGATGAAGCTGAGTTGTCAAAACAGGATAATCTTTGCCATGCCTTACTTCTATAAACTGCTGGGTCACAGTATAGGAATTCATCATTGGCCTCAATAATAAAGAGAAAACAATTAATTATTCAGCTCATGCATTCTTATCTTTGACCTGGTGATAGAGGGTTGTCTTTGAAAATTAGTACTTTTACTGATGTGAGCAACTGCAGCGCAAAACTGCTTGTAAAAAAGGAGAGTGTGCCAGTGTATTTACAGAGTTCAATGGTCTTTTGCACACAAACAACTGATTCAAGGAGGTTAACAGCGTGAAAGAAGGCAGGGAAGCAGGTTATAAGCTGAAAAATACACCAGCACATGCAATAATGGGCAATCATAGCCAAATTTTAGATAATGCAAAGAGTCTTGCACTCCCAAGAAATAAAGTTTCTTCTTCTTCAAAGTTTGCTTTCCTTCGCATCAGTTGAAAGTATTGTTTGATAAAATAATTCAATCATGTTTTGCGTTGTGCCGAAAAAAGCTGCTCCCACTACTAATCTAACAATTACTTTCTACTGTTTTCTATTTCTTGCTTTTGCACCAATGCTGTGTAATTCGGCCTCTGTTTTCAGCTTTTTAATGTCAAAATTCTTAATGTAAAAATTAACAATTTCAACAAGTTCGAAATTAAGCAGAGAGTGGAAAGATAAAATAGCTAGCCAATTCGCACATTTAGGGTTGTCTAACTGCAGCAGACATTATTTCAGTAGATTTTTGTCACCTTTTTTGACTGTATTTTTTTCCCTTACTTGGATGAAATTCAATTAAGAAATAAGGTACATTTCCTCGTAAATAATCATGAACTTCCTTTCGTTGTGGATTTAAAAGAAAATGCTCAATATTTCCAAAACTCATATTTCATAACAGATTAATGCTTTAATTATTTTGTATCACGCAGCACAGTTGGTTTCAGTAGAAAAGTTGTTCTTTAAAGATATATTGTAATTATTAATTCAAAGTAGGAAGATTATGGTTATGTCTCAACAGGAATTTTCTGATGTCTTGCTTCACATCTCATGAAATTTTCATGAAGCTTGGTTGGCCAAATCAACACAAAACTCATGATCCAGGAATTAAATATTTCACAATACCCTGATTAAAACTAACCAATTAGAATAAAAGACGCTGAAAAAACGAATAACTGCGACAGACTCAGAAAGGAAGTCAGAGAAGATTGAACAGTTGAAAGGTGGAAATAATTTGCCATTTCCATCAAATGACCAAACTATGATTGTACCGACAGAGACAATTCTTGTCTTCCTTTGAATAATTCTTATCACCAAGGAACATTACGTCAAAACGTTTTTAAAAGAACTTCTTAACAGAGAATCCTGTCATATCCCTATAATTTCTAATAGTCTCTATTTTTTAAGCATCCATCCATTCTTTATCCTTCATCCATTGCTTCTATTGCTTTTAATTCTCTTCGCTTATTTCCCTTATCTCTACTGTTCCTTTCTTGGCTCTCCTTAGATCGTCTTCGCTTTGACCCAGTAAACTATGTTGTTTTGCATTCCTACTGTTTTTCTCAGCTTTTCATTCTAATCCTTTTTCTCTCGTCTCTTATTCAAGTATTTCACACTCCTTTCCCCCTTCTATTTTCAAACTCCACCCTTTTCCCTCATTCCTCTTTCTACTTCCCCCTTTTCAATTCATCTAAATTTTTCTCTGTTATTCGCTTCTTGTTCTGCCTTACCTTTCGTTTCACTCTCTCCTATTCAGAATCTACTTGCTACTTCCCAACTCCACCCCTTTTCTTTCTCTCCATATGTAAACATACTTGCATATGAGTGCACTGAAACCTTTGGTAACGCAAAATAAAAAAGATGCACAAAAAAATCGGAAACATTGCCTAAGAAGGAACCAATCAAACACGTGATGATAATTTTCCATGATAATTTCGATCATATTTCCATATAAATTTCTGCTTATTTGTTTTATGATCTGACTTTTATACTCTGTGGATTGTTGAATGACAGAAAGTGCTTAACTATGATACCCCTTTTACGCGCTATCTTCAAATTTAAATCACTAACCTGGATAGATGGCTTTTGTAAATGCCCGAGATTTGAAGTTGTTTGTCGAGGTTCTTGTCCCAAGACCATCGTATTCGGATTGATTAAACGGAACGCGTCAATGACTACCTACAAGAAAACAGATACTTGTTACAAGCGCAGGAACATCGAAGTGAAGTCATGATGAAGCTGGTAGTAAATATGTACAAGAAGACTATTGAAAGGACTCACATAACACAGTGAGAATGACACTTGCTAAAACAAAAGGTGCAAAGGGATTGCTTAAAACACAAATTTTGGCGCGGATGTTTATTGATGTAGTTCCTATTTCAAAACAAAAGAAGCGCATGAAGATATATGGAAACATCATCATATATTGGTTTATTCAGAAGCTTGCTGAATAATTGGTGAACATGTTTGCAGGAACAAACATTAGAGTTTTAAAAACAGTATTCAAAACTCTGGACCAAGGGAAAAAACACAGTATTCTTAGCCCTTGTTTGATCTGTTTTGAAACCTGGCAATGTCGATATAACAAAATTAAAAAGAAGACCGAATAAATTACCAACGATACGAGTTTGATACGAGTGCAACAGATGCTACATCAACTTGGCGTTAAAAATCTTTCAAAATTCAAATAATAATACCATTTATGCTCTTGAAAGTTTAGGACAAAGTTCGCAATATTTTTCTAGTTGGTAAGACTCAAGAACCTATAGCTAAGCCATAAAAAGAGAAAGCGAGGAGGGATTATTAAGAGAGAGGGAAGATCAAGCTTTAAAGAGAGAGGAGGAGAGAGGAAAGATCAATTAGTAAGAGAGAGGGAAGACCAAGGTTGTAAAAGTCTGGGAAACATGAAGGGGGTAGAGCATTCTAAATACTAAAAGATCTGGGGAGGTATGAAGAGTTGTGGGATTGAGTTTTTGCGTTAGGCAAAGGGACTTGGTAAGGGTAAGCATTGGGAGAGCGTATGGTATTGTATTCATGTCTCGGGGGACCTGGTATCATGTCTCTAATCTCCTGAGAGCAAAATGACCAAGGTAAAATGCATAAAAAATAGCGAGATCAGCGAAGAATATATGGACTAGGGTAGAGACGGTCCCTGACCTTTCTGATCAAACTACCCACTCTACATAAATTTAACTATTCGAATCTACATCTAGCTGCATCAAAAGGAGATAAACGTTACGCAATCAAATCCAATTATAAAAATCCTGCTTTTAATACTCTCAATGAAATGAGAGTCCTACTCTTAGATTATATTTCTAGAAAGCATTAAGAATAGTTCAGAATCAGTTTAGGTCAACAAATTTTGTACCACCAAAAGATTGTTTCAGGTCAACACTTTAATTTGCAAGAAATAAGCAACAACGAGACACAGCAAGCAACAGATAAATATATGTAAAGCTTTTAAGCCTGTGGAAACAAGAATTAAGGTCGTAGAGTGCCATACAATAACAATATAAAAAATTCACAAGGTCCATCTGATGTTTGGTGCTTTGTTCCATTCCCAACAATTATTTTATCACAAATTCTTGATCAAATTCTCTCAAGTAGAATGAAACTTCACTCAAGATAGCAAGGTTACGGGACAAAAAGCAGGGATTAAGATTGTCCCTAGCAAATGCAAATCAGAGAGATTATAAACTTAGTCCGTAATCGGTGGGTTTAGATAAAAACTGAGGTATCAATGTAGACGTTAATTTGAAGAAATTTCTACCCTTAAAATCATAGGGCTAATTTTTTCAACTGGAAACTATAAAAACTTTTCTTAAACAAAAACCGTTTTTCTTTGGGTAACAGAATTGTTAATGGCTGTTTACCTTTCCTTTAACACTCTGTATTGGATCGACAACAACAGCAACAGCCCGTTCCGACAATGCCTCAAAACTCTGTTGCGTATTGATATCAACACCGGAGAGCCAGCAACCAAATCCTGGATGCGAGTGATACCAGCCAACGACCATTTCCGGCCTAAGAAAACAGTAACAATTAGCGCATGGTTGGTCTACAGTTGTGGAATATTAATACCTATACCAAAGATGGGTAGCACAGCACCCACATCGAGTATAAGCGCTCCTTCATCCACTAAATGTCAAGTGTATGCCTCATGGAATATAGATCAGTATTGACATGGGGAAAGTTGTTACGTTGTCATAGGAATTTTCTACACGTGTTAAGAGGACAGTAATACTGCATGAAGTAGCTATAATAAACAGAATACAAAACATATAACGGAAAAACGCAGTTATTGAGCTTGATGATCTATACGAATTTTTATACAAGATTAAACACTTCAACGTTACTGCTGTTATCAATGTGCGTCCTGTTTAACGTAAAAATGAAAGTTAAAACTACCAACAGCACTTTATTAAAATCCTATATTACATATCTAAAATAAGAAAGTTTAAGTAAAGTTTAAGAAAAATGTTGCTTAAGATGCAGTTCATAGGCATTGAAAGACTCAGTTTTTCGTATGTAAACAAATAGTTCATTATAGATTTTCGCTCCCACGAATGGAAATGATTTGCGTGCATATTTGGTTTTAATTTTGAGAAGCTTTACCAGGCATTGATTGTTTCTTGTTTGCTTTTTGTGATCATTGATTTCAAACTACCCTTGAAAGGTATCGTAAATATCCTTGTCAAGACACTTGCGTACAAGCTTGCATGCATGGATGTTATTGGCATTGATTTGTTATTGACTGAATTTCTTCGCAAGTGTTCAAATTCCCTTGTATTGTTCTTAATGAGCGATCATGAAACGATCCTACACGATTTCGTTGAGTGTCAGTCATCTTTAGCTGTAATATTCCGGAGTATGTAAAGGTAGGTAGAATCAGTGAGCGATAAATCACCTTTGCAGCGGTCAGATCAAGACAATTTCTGAGCTTTCCTAGTAACCTCAGTCTACCTGATGCGCGTTTGAAAGTCTGTTGTCTCCCTTTCTTCGGGTTTATTATCAGTGCATTTTGCTCTCTTCGTGTGAGACTATTAATTTTACTATTCGTGTATGCAACTGAGCTCAATATTAGTTGATCAACGCTAAACATAAATTATACAAATTGTTCTTGAAAAAATGTGTCACAGATAGAAAATCAACTCTTTCGTCGATCTACTTATCGTTTCAAAATTTTTCATTTCCGACCAATTTCACCTGATGTCTTACACTAATACCATACCTTTCTTCAAAACTACACGTAATCATAGAAAGCACTGTTAAAAGAGGTAAGGCTAGAATACGAGCAACTCTAACTGTAGAAATAAAACATGAATTAAGTATGTTAACCGAGTTCCGGCACAGTATATACTTGGTTTAAAGAGATTATAGCGTCTGCCAAGCAGCCACGTGGATAAAGTTGTAGCACTCTAACAATCCTTATCAAGACAAAAGGAAACATAAAAGATTATAGCAAATATCTGGAAAAAAGTGATCGATACTCGCATGATAGCAAGAAACACTTGAGTCCTATGACGGGTGAAAAGTGCCACTGACGCATCGATGAGACTATGCTGTGTCGCTATCAACATGGAGAAAGCATACAACAAAATGCCACGGTAGAAAGAAAAGAATTATTCCAGGCTGAAAAATACCTATAAAGGTACTCAGAACGCTGAATGTGTACCAGGTGTCCATTGGAAGTCTGCAAAAATGTTGAGATCAGGATCCGACTTTTTCAGGGTTCAGCTTTGAACAGCGACCATGATGAACTGGCTTACCGAGAAAGGTGGAAGAGAGGCACAATAAGACATGATTTTTGCAGATGATTTAGTCTTTTACACTAAAAAAGATGCAACAGAGCGGATGCAAGCAGATTGGAATAGTTGGGGCCAAACCACAGAGGTTTTGTGTGACAGCCAGGTAGCAGAGTGAAAAAGGTAGATTGTGTAAGGTCACAGTTGGTCGAGCAGTGCTTTATATAGAATGGATACTGTACCACTCACGAAACAGCAGGGTGAACAGTCCAAGGCTGCAGAGATAAGGGTACTTAGTATCTCCCTTTGGATGATCATCACATACCAATTTAGGAATGTAAGAAAACGAATGAGGTTTAGAGGGCTAAAGAGTTGTAGTGAGGAGACAGGAACACTACTTGGCAAGAAAGTAAAACTTAAATCAGGAAATTTAAATAAAAAATCAGTAAAAAAGAAAAAATGAACAATATGATGAGAAGAAGACGAAACGATCTGGGGGCCATAAGGTTCAGGAACTGACAAACTTGAGAGAAGATAACGGAACAACAGAACCAGGACAAGCAAGTGAACAAAGAAGAGCAAAATTTCTATCAAACAGAAGCAATTCAAGGCTTCCTGTTATTTTGTTTTTTTTGCTACTAGAGCTTCCTATGCTGGAATGATTCTTTATCTGATGTCAAGCAATACAGTATTTGAAATTGAGAGGAAATTCTTTACCTATCACATAACATATAGAAACAAATTAGTGAAATAGCTTTAGTTGAAAATGTCATCAAGCGCTTGGCTGATATCATCTAATGTGGTTGAAATTCAAAGCAAAGCATCTCTTTCTAGGCAGTAGGTGCCATTTATATAAACACAATTCAAGCTCCTGTAATAAAATAACCTTGCCTTACAGATAAAGCTAAAACATGAATAAATGTTTGACAAGCTTGAATGCTAACGAGATTGTAAGCAAAACAAATTTTCATATGAAGAAGTAAAGCAATTATTCTAAAGAAAGTTCAAATCTTGTTTAGCATGCGAACTGGAGAAAGCATATTGTTTATGTAAATATTGGATGAAGAGACCAAAAAACTGTTGTTTATTCCAGATGCAGCATTTAAGCTAAGAGGTGATACATTTGTCATCTTCATATGCCAAAGGAAATGCGGTACATGCGATGAATATTATTTAAACACTTGCTTTAAAAGCAGAACAGTATTTAGCACTGCAAAGTATATGTAAAAGGATGAAGGCATACCTTCCTGTTTGCTTAAGCATGTCCAACATTTTTGCTTGGAAGACTGGATCCACAGCTTCAACACTCACACCCTGTTAAGTTATTACAAAATGCAATACCTCAAAATGCTTTCTTTGGTGGCTTGATGAATTCAAAACCATTGACACAATTCAAATATCACATGAAGCCAAGTTAGAATTTGCAAGTGAAACAGCTGTTCCTGGCTAAGCACGGCATTTCAATTTTATTCAAAAAGTTTGAACTCATTTCACAGGAATAAACAACAAAAAAGAGTTAATTCCTCAGTAAAACATACTAAAATCATACAGCTGACCTTAAAATTTTGTACATATCAGATGACAAACTGTTTTTTTTCAATTATGTACTATTTAAGAAGATTGCAACACATAAGATTTCAAAAAATATAAAATAAACTTATGTAATATGTAAGTTAGATCTCACATGTCAAACATCTTTAAGACTGCTGACTCTTCTCAGACCAAGGTACTAGCATTCGCAATTTTAATGTGATTTAAACAGTCAAACAAATGATCATTCTTATAGTGAGCAAATATGCCCTGCTTCAGCAAAGATAGAAAGCCTTGGCCTGTGGCCTACACATTCAAATAATACAGATAATATTTGAAGTGATCAAGGATTAGACTTACTGTTCCGCTCTGTGGCATAGCAAATACATCAATCACCCTGACAGTATAATCATCAACAAATTCACCTAACATAAGTCCCATAACTTCCATTGGTACACCAGCTCGACCTTTTAGAAAAAAAAACAGAATTCAGCAATAACATGAAAACCGTGCTAAATACAATACCATAAAATCAACAATACCATGAAAATAATAGCTGACTAACCATGCTGACTCTGATATTAATCCTAGGTTAACAAATCTTTTCAATACATTCAATATCAAGATATTTTTAATGCCTATTGAGAAACAAAATGTTCTCAATAGGCATTAAAAGGGTCCTCAAAATTAACAAACTAGTACAACTGAACAATTTCTGGTAGTATCCAACTATTTGAGTATTTATACATTAGGGTATCAAAAGTATTGCACTGCCTCAAAAGAGGAGAAATGGTGCATGAATGATTGAAAGCTATTGTTATGCAAATTAATTCTGTTTTTAACAATAAATATCTGGTTTTTGGAAGACCATTTGGATCATGGTTTGTAACGTTTTTCATTTGAAGTCAAACTTTTTTAGTGATGTTGAAAATTGGACTTGATTCTGGCTATGCCTAAGCTTTAATTTCTTTTGCATGGTAATAAATCTTTGTAAAAATGGTTTCCGTTTACTCAGGTAACTTTTTCTTTTGTATCAGTGCAAAACACTCATTATATCTTCCCTGGACAGATTTTGAGCTGCAAAACCTTGCTCAGCATTAAGTTTTATGTCTTTTACTGTCCCTCGGGGTAAATGCAGTGAGATGAAAAACAGACAAATTCTCTCCCCGCTGATATCATTTTTTGCCAGCCCAATTCTTGGTTCATTTACTACTGCAACACTTACGAGACATAGCTTTCTCACAGCTGTTGTGTGGCTGCATCTAACTTGGTCAACATCTTTTCTAAAATTTAAGACTACTTCCCCATAAAGATTTTGTTTTTGCGCAATTCATACATTTCTAACTAAGTTTTCTATGATGTCAGCAAAATTTGCAAACTTTTCCTGCTGAAATTATCTATAAAATGCACCTTTTAAGCCAAAAAAGCAATACTAACCATGCTTTAACATCTACAAGTGAAAAAGAAAAGAAATTAAGAATCAGGTGAACATTCTTAAGAAAACAATTACAAATCCCCAGTTCATGCAGACATTTTTTGTGGAGCTACTGACAAAAATATAGGATGGGTATAAAATTTATAAGGATCAATAGATATATGTACTGTAATGTTTCCATTGAGAAAATTCTATGGAACCTTTCAGCTTAATAAAAGAAAAACTCTATTTAAAAATATGGGGGCAATTATGGTCTTTGAATAAATAAATTTTTAATTCTTTCATGTCTGGTGTGAAAAATTCAAAATCTATTGTCTGTTAAACATTTTTTCCCTAAAGGAATAAGTGATCTTTTGTGTGATTTATTTATCAGTGACCAAGAGATTTAAGCAAAAACTATATTGTGTCCTTGGCAACAATGATCATCAATGAATTGACAACAGAAATCAATTTTAGAATATGTTTCAAGAAAGTTTTTCAGCAAAATGATAGTTTATTACACTGTTTTTTCAATAAAATACTATGGAAAGAATATATTAACAGAATGAAAAATTGAGCATTCATGCAGTGAAAAAGTGAATGGGAATACAATAAGAAACTCAAAAGTAAAAAATAGCAGTTATAAAATTACCTTTAGCAATGCTAATGAAGAAATATAGACTTGTTCTGCAGTATCAACCATTGCCCCATCTCCTCCAGCAGTCTATAGGTTTGAAACAATGACATAATGAAGGTCACCATTTTCAAAAACAAATTTCAGGTACTTATAACTAGGACTGTGAAGTTTTTATAACTAGGTCATTAAAACTTCTGATTCCAATCACAATAAAAACAAGTAGCAAAAAATCTCTATGAAAACCTTTCCTACAATCTTCGCACACAATTTTCAGGAAACATTTATTATCAGTTGATTTGAATATTACTTTTCTGACATTCCCCATGCAGAAAAATACAGTTTGCCCTAAAACATTTCACAGCATCATGCAATTATAGCCAGGCAGTAAAGTATTTTTGTGCATGGTGAATTGTTATCTGCAACTTATGCTTGAGCAGGCACAAATAATTTGCAAAAAAGAAGGTAAAAAGCTGCAAGATTTTATTTTCAAATACAATTTGATAGCTTTGTGGGAGGCTTTATGCAGGGTTCAGACAAAATCTGTACATCAAATACAGGCCTTCCTGGGAATAAATTAGCACAAGTGTGGCATTTTGCACCCCTAGACTGTTTTCGGCATGTGATGGAGTGCTATTGCAGGCCTGGCCGTTTGTATTTTTATAGGCGAGCTGTGAATCGCTCCCCTCGTTTGCTGAGGCGAGCTAAATCAGTAACACATAGAATGTACTTTAAAGACAATCGACAGATGACTTAATAAGCCCCTTTAGTATCTGTCGGTTGCCTTTGATAGCCTCATTCAGGAGTGTGATGTTTTACTTCTTTAAATTTGTATTTGCTTTAACTGTGACTTAGGCACCCCCTTTACTTGAAGTTTTTAAAAGAACAGACTCTTTCAGTTTCATGTAAAGCTGGCACAACACAAAAGCAACAATTCTCTTGCAAATCAATATTTTTGTTGTACAGAATTTGAAAATGGCTTTGAAAAAAAATTTTAAAACAATCTGAAGTTATACGTCTAGCACTCTTCAGAGAATAAAACGTCAGAACATAGATGGAAAACTCTAGGCTAAAATACCCAGCTTTGGATCGAAGTAGGCCATTCAAAAAACGCGAGCACATGACTGTTGAGGTTGTCCAATCAGTGCCGCTTTCCTATTGAAAATGTTACCAACAGAGTCCTAAGGTGAAAACGAACTCACTTATGTCTACACAAAAGCGGTTGGTCATGTTTATATTGTAGATAGATTCACAAACTGCTAGATGGAACGATGATCATGCTTTGCCAATAATGCGAAACATTTCACCGTTATAGTTTTTCACCCAATCTGGGTTTTTCAGTAAATGCTGCTGGATAGTGGAATTCCATATTTTGGTTGTCGTTTTTGATCTGCAAGACAGAGTACCCTGTTCTCTTTGATGGATAGTTTTGTTTCTATTGCTGGAAGGGACCTGCTGTCTTATTATATCCCCAATCTACAATTCCTACCCATTTCTTCGACTTTCCTTCCAAAAATATTCCTGTTTTCTTAAGATTGAAAGGTTCTAATCGCTACAAATGTACCTTTCGGTTAACTATCTTTTTCCAAATAGATCAAAGTTTATGCCTATCATAACAAAAACCACCCAACAAGCAAAAAGTTAATTGCAAAAAATGCAATGACGGGAGAAATTGCTGTTACAAAAATAAACCAATTAACCCTTGTGCGTTTTCATAATTCTCTGAATAGGAAATTTTAGGGGAGCAATTCCTCCTTCATGTTCTGTTTAGGAGAGCAATTCATAGCTCGCCTCAGGCTGCGAGGGGAGCGTGGAGGCGAGCGCGAGCTATCGCTCGCCTCAAACGGCCAGGCCTGCTATTGGTGCTTTGTCTTATTTCTACAAAGGTTTACATACATAGTATATGGAGCCTTAAAAACCCGCATTCTCAAGTCATTTCTTCAGTTTTCAAACAACTTTAACAATAAATATCTCTGGTGGCATAATGATAAAGGAAAGCTTATGAATACCACCAGGGATCTTTACTAAATTTGATGCTCAAAATGTTTTGATGCAGTTCCCGGCAATCCCTCTTGCCACCAACAATGGTGCCAGTCCTCATGAAACCCTTTAAAAACATTTTGGGCCCAACCTTTAAAAATGTCTCATCAAAAGGGATATGAAAACAGTACAATTTGAAAATGGCATGATTTGAAAATGGCCCCATTTGAAGACGGCACAATTTGAAAACAGCACAATTTGAAATGGCACAAAACGTTTCATTGCAAATGTTTGAAACAAATTTTTCCATTTTCTATGAAAACGATACAACATTGAATAATTTTTTGAAGAACGGGACCTCCTCGTCAGACAAATATGCCATATTGCCCAAGCCCTTCTGGGGAGGGTTGTTTAGTGCTGTGTTGCACTCCGCTAACCCAGCTGATGGTAGGAATTTGATACTGAAATCACTGGCGTAAAACCAACAGTGTACAGAAAGCAAGCTTTCCAGCATGGGGCCATTGGCGAAGGCTTTCACATAAAAACTGCAGCTCCTTAGAATGATGGATGTCTGGAGATCTGATATTTCACACAAAACTTGCACCAAATCATTGTTACATATTTCCTATTATCATGGACTCAAATGGTATAGCCTTAAATGTCACAGTTGCCCAATTTCAGGAATAAGGCGAGTTCCTTTGTGACCCCTTTACTTTTCTTGCAAAAGCCGCCAAATTTACAAGTGTAGATCTGAAGATATACAGCACAAATCTTGTCTAAACTGGAAGCCTTTTGTTTAAAAATTCAACTTAATTTTCAATTCGAAAATGGTATTTAAGAAACATGTGCATGTTAACACAGGTCTATGATAAAATGCGACTTAGATTTTACAAGCACTAGCCCAGAAGATGATTGCAAACTGTTGTATAATTATAATATCTGCAGCCTTAGATGTAAGAATGAAATTTACCGGACCACTATTATCCCGGTGCTATGGTCATTTGGTCCATAATTGATTGCATTCAAGTGCTGTCACAACAGCTTTTCAAAGTGATTACGGTGACCCAGTATGGTGGACAAGACCGGTAAAACACATCAAAATAAAAAACGCAAAACAATTTCTTGTTTTCTTGTCACCTTATTAGTTTCCAGTGCTTTGGCTCAAAAACAAACAAGGATTACAAAAATAGGCGTGTGATTAAAGACACTCTTCGGTGTGGGGAGGCTTGTACCAGCGCGTGCGAGTGCAATCGCACCCCTTCCCCAGGAAGGTCTGAAATGTCTAGATTAAACTAAATTTGAAAAATTTGTGCAAGACAAAAAATTTATAACGCTATCCCAGTGCATACCTAAACTTTTCAGCCTGGCAGTTAAGAAAAGCGCTTTCTATTTGCTTAGGGTATAATAACTTGGGCATGGAATTATGTTCCTTGTTAAGGATAGCATATTCAAAATATTCTTTTCACTAGACATTATGTTGTCTTTTCAATTTTTTAGATTCCACTATCTATTTAATACTCTCATGAGCTAAAAATTTCTGCATGTCAAGTCATCACACACGATAGAAAATATTGAAAATGTCTTCTCTCAAGTAGGAAAATTTTGCTAATAATACTGCATTTATGTTTTTATGTGGCAAGTTTAAACAAGCAAAAACATACATGCAGTATCATTTAATGCATGATGTAAAATAATGAAAAACATACATGCAGTAAGAATTTTTTAAATCATGCATGACGAATAGAAACGTTTGTATATCGTCACATGCATATAAAAGAAACTCTTATTTCTTTTGAAAACTGAAAAAGGTTAAAGATATGCTGATGTTCATTTGACAGCCAAATATTTGATAACAGCACTTGAATATAACACTGAGCTAGGAAATTTGTGTAACTAAAACTACCTAGTAAAAAGATTTGGTCAACTGTATGTAAACTAAGCTATTAAAGGAAAGGTTGTTTTAAAGCTTATATTTGAGACGAAAAAATCTTGAAAACAGCATTACTCTTGAATACTTACACCTCCTACAGCGGAACCTAATCCTGACCCAAGTCTAAGTATTCGATCCATCTTTACACGAGTTTATTCTTCTTTTTCTTACAATTTTTATGCTTATGAGTAGATGACTAGGCCACAATGCCCTTATAGCGCGGCAGGACGCGAGACAAAGCGCGAAGCACAGGGTCTCGCTTTCATGCTCCACCTCGTATGCATGAGCTCAAACTCTTGTTTTCAGCACTCAATTTCTGGTTGTTTCATTGCAATAATTAATGTAAATCGCAAGATCAGATACTAGATAGTTAAGATAAACAACATGAACTTTTGGTAAATTAGCTGATTGACACATAGGAAAAGCTGACGATAGAGCCATCAAAGCCATATGGCCAATTGACGTGATTTGACGATAAATTTTACACAAAAATGATTCTGGTTTCATTATCAACAGTAAAAATTCCCATGATTAAAAACAGTAAGAATCAGCAAAAAGTAAATTAAGCATGAAGATCATACTCGGAAGTTTTTATTTTGCCTGGCAGAAAAAGCATGCAAATTGCGTAATTATGAAAAGGAGAAAGAAAAATTGGGAATAGATTATCCCAATACTTTTAAATTACCCAGTGTATGATGCAGGCACAGCTTCTATAGCACGAGGCACTCACAATCATGTCTCATGTGGTAAACGTACATCTTTTTTATTATCTTACTTCTCTATTCTTCTTAGCATCAACATTACTTGTTATTTTTACTTATTTTTTTTAATTTCTGTAATGATTGCATGCAGGGCAGACGTTGTATTCTTTTGCTCCTTGTGGTATCTTTTTAGAAGTAACGTCGATTGTACTGGCGTTTTCTAGTCCGAAGAGATTCGGACGAAAAGCTTAAAGATGTTTCGAAATGAGTGCTTTTTCAAAGCCATATTGTGTACCGTCAAAAATCATACCAAGATCCACAAGCAAATAGCAAAAAGCCAAAGAGGGTTTTCTTACTCTGACTTGAAAATTGACATAGTTAAAGGCTCCCATTGAAAATTAAAGAAACCCAAAAACTTGCACCAAAGTTCTAAATAAAGGATGACACTTTAGTTAAAATGTTTTTTCATGCTAAATTCAAAATTAGTGTATTTTGTTGTTAGCATTTGTAGCTCATCATTTAAAATGATAGCTTGTCTATCATATCATCCATCGTCATAGGATGAAACGTCAAGCTTTTTTTTCTACATTTAATTTGCAAGCAGTTAATTTCTCATATATAACAAAGAAACTGAGTGAAATTTAGAAAGCGTCTACCTACGAAAAAGCGCCCCACTCGAAAAACCGCTCCATCGAAAAAGCGCTCCCTCAAAGCCACCAAAAATTGATTAGAATCTGGCAACCTTTAAGAGGAAAATGGCATTTTTCACTTTCCATAATTTGCATACTGGGCAAATTGCAAATTAGTTAACAACAATTTTTATGGCAACATCTATCAACCTAAATTAAAAAAATGATCAAAAGCAAAGATATTAAGGAAATACATGCAATTCTTCAACCTTTTCTCTGATGTCAGGTTATAAAAGACACACGACCCAGAGAGATAGGATCATTTGCTAGTTTATTGCGAAAATATTGTATTTGCGAAAATTATCCCAAAATGATATTAGAAGAGCTTGCTACTCAATTCTGTCGGCGGACAAAATTCCCGAAAAAGTGACATCCTGCCCTGACATGCATCCAAATTTTGGGAGACATCCCGATTTGCCGACAAGAATTTTGACGATGCTGACTTAAACGTCATTGGGGTATGATCCATGTGCTTCCCATTTTGGGGACGCCCTTCTGGGGAAAAAACTAATCGGCAAGTTGTACCTTCTGGATTCAATTTTGAAAGGGGTTCTGTGTTTATAGATTTAAAGATTAAAGCTTTCAAAGAAAGTATCCAATTACACAGGAAGACTTGATTGTACCAATCTAATCGTTAAAATGGCAGTTCTATGATTTTTTATTGATTTCCCATAAAAAACACAAATTTTTGCTGATATTCCATTGCTTTTGGAAATAGTTCCACCTCCGTCTGTTTTTATAATTTTAATTTTTTTCTGTGTTTTTAAGCTGTTCTTTGTTTCATAACAAAATATCTTAACGTCTATGTCAACATTGAAATTCTTCAAAGAGAATTGCGTGCTGCTTGTAAAAATTAATTCTTCAACTCTAAAAAAAGTAAATAAATATTTATATAATCGTAATAGAACCCTGAACTTGTGTTTATTTGACGAAACCTCTTTTGAAAGCGAGAAATTTTAACAATACTTATCAATAAACTTCGTTTTTGCTAATTCTGATCATACACTATTGTGCTACATGGAGTAAAAAACAAGCTATAAATGTTTAATCAGAAACATCATGCATCTTATTTTGGAGACTGAGTATAAAGTTTTCTTGAACTGATTAAAATTGTTGGCTATATTGGCCTTAAAATACTTTCAAGGGATGAAAATCGATGGGTGCAAGAATTCCATCTGCCTCTTTATGTTTTGCCCTCTGTTTGTTTCTGCATAGCCAAGAAAGTCAGGATAGGTATAGGAAAGCTATAGCTCGAGTGCCATCACTTCGTGGACAATAGTAAGTCTGTTTCAGTAACGCCCGCGTAGCTAATTAAAAGTAGACCAGCTTCTGCTATTCAAGGTTGACAGTGACTATAATTTGTTTACGCTGAAGCCCATTGGAAAAACCATTTCTCCTCGAGCTTGACTTTTTGAATAATTTTCATTTATCATTTATTAGCACTCTTCTTCTTTTGAGAAATTCAAGTTTCCGGGAACAAAGGTGAAAATGTTTGTTTTGCACGTTCAAAAGTAACTTTATCTAATTTTAATAAATTGTTTGTACTTACTCATAAAATCCAGTTGCCTTAGCTCTTTTTTGACCAAACAATTTTGAAAAAAAATATAAATTGATACAAAGAATTGCTAAATACCCGTCTATATCAATCATAATTTTTCTTACAATATTAAACGGTCCCAGAAAAAGCAAAGGTTTGGCAAGGGTCCCTTGCTATATACTCTATATTTGCAATGAACAAACCAATGCATTTATTGAACCTGATGATGATTAATTTGTAGTACAAATTTGAAAACACATTTTCTATAAGCACATCTTCAGGTTCTAGGTCATTCAAGTGACATGGTAACAAGTGAATGTATATATGCTTCAGAAAGCAACCGCTGACAAGTAAAGATGACGATAAAAAAACAGTTATAAGGTTAACCACGTCTTATCAAGAGATGGATTTTTCTTACATCCAACATAGCTTGAAATTTCATGGATAGATTCTTATCACTCTACACATAGCATATATATTCATATTCTATACACACATTTAGATACATTAGAAGAAAGACTAATCAAAATCTAAAAGCTTTTATCTTGACGAGTCCTCGGGGCTGTCTGATCGTGAGGTGCTGTACAGGGGATCCACTGGGGTGCATGTGCGGGAGATGTGAATTGGATCAAAGTCAAGCTCGTCACCACTGAAAAACATGGGAGATTCTGAATTCGGGGAAAGGTGGTAGTTGCTGCTTGGAGGAGGAAACGACATGACCTGCGGAGAACCGTGTTCTGATTCCGAGGCTACGAGGTACTGTGTTGGAACGACTGGCAAGCTTGAATATCGTCTCAGTTTCTGACCTTTTGGCCCGATAACAGGCACTTTTAGGCCAATGTCTGACTGCATAGTGTCTACAGTGAGCTCTTGCGCTGAAATACTTGTTGTTTTTGACATTTCAATTAGAGTATTAACTCTCCCTGGGGGTGAGTTGCGCGTTGTTAAAACCGACTTCGCCTTTGGTGGCTCGGGTTGGGGCTTAGCTCTCGGGGAATCTTGTTCGTACACTGGGCGGTTTTCCTTTTTTCTTGCGGAACCAACACCTTGATGCGATCGGAATGCCTGCCGTCCGTTTGTTTTCTGTTGCGGCTTTCTAAATTGATGGTTGAATGCCGTTGATCCGGTGGTGAAGTTAAGGTCAAGCTTTTTGTATGCTATTCGGTTTATAAGCGACTGGCGATTCAGCAGTTTCTGCTCTGCTCCGTAAATATTCTCTAGGCCTCTCTGCTTTTGCGTCGCGGTATTTGGTGCAACGGTTCTTGCACCGCGCTTAGACAGTCGACTGGAAGCCACGCCCGTTCGCACGAAAGCCGAGGAACGCATCTCGCTCGTTACGGTATTGCTTTCTTCTTCCGATGTCGATTGCTCTGAATTTCCATTGCCATCTACGTTCAGTGAGGGTAAAGCACGTAATACGTCGCCGAGGAATGTCGAATAAAAGGATTTCTTGCAAACAATTGCATTTTCAAAACACAATGTTAATACACCAGCTAGTGTCGAAGGCCCGTCGTTTGAATCTTTCTTGGCTCTTCTGTCGATAAACTTGGTTTCGTAGAATCGCAGCGGCATCGGCTTAGGCAATTCATAGCTCTCTTCTCTCACAGTTATTATTGGTATGTTGTACAGCATTGCAACACCGAGCTGGTTAAGGCAATCCGCGTCAAATATTGTGAGGGCATTGAAAGTAAACACAAATGCGTTGGACGAAGCAATTGCGCAGTACGCGTCTATAATGTCGTCAACCGGACAGGTATGGGTCCTTACAAAACACGAGCGGGACAAATCAGCAATCAGCCTCCCTTTCAACGAAAAACTCTCAGCATTGCCAGCAGTCCGTCCGCAAACGTAAATGAGTTTTCCTGCAAAGGTGTAGTCGCCTGCCCCCATTTTCAAAAATTGGTAAGTTATGAGTGTTCTCCAGAAAGTCCCAAACGTTAAATACAGTGTTCGTCTTGAATAAAGTGTTTAATTATAAGCAAAGTGCGTCAAGAAACATCACTTTCTTGATCCAATGAAGGCTTTCGAATTAGGCTCTGGAAGAGAGAGATATCGATGGTAAAAAATCTCACATATGTTAGAAATGAAGGGCAATAAGTCTATATTGTGCATTTCATTTCAACAAAACAACAAAAGAGCAAGAATGCAGAGGAAACTGCAACTGCAGATATCCAGGATGCCAGTAAAACCGAAAAAGATTTACAGCCATACAATTCCATAGATTTGCAAAGCAACATACCATCATTCAAGGCATGAATGACACTTAATTGCCTATTTCCTTCCCATACCTATAAATCATAAGACCCAGACTTTATTCAATATTC